AAATCAAACTCCACGCTCCCATTAAATCACAAACCTCATTTCTTCTTCAATTTGCAGCCTGGAAATTGCCCAACCCTGGAAAAATCAACTTTTGACGAGGTAAATGGGAATTTCCCATTAAAACTCCTTCTTTTCCTCGTCGCGTGTTTAAATGAGCAGCAGATTCCCACATTTCCTGCTAATTCCCATTTTTTTTTCCCCCTCCAGGGAAAATGCCTGCAGGGAATCTCTGAGGATGTGAGAGCCTACAGGGCACAGCTGAGCTCCCTGCCCGACCCGCAGCTGCTGGCGGCGCTCGATGGGATGATGGAGGTGAGGATTCCTGCCCCCAAAATTCAGGAAATTGGGAAAAAAAAAACTCAATTTCTCCCCCAAATATTGAAATCTAACAGGCCCGCTGCGACACGGGGTGGAGTAGAGGTTGATAAATGCAATTTTAGCCTCAGTCGATAAAATGCGATCATGAAATAGTTGAAATTGTAGCTCCTTCATGGTAAGATTTAATGTTTGAAAATTTCATTTCCAGTCTATTAATGCGATCGTGAAATATTTCAAAATTTACCTTAATAATGATCAATTCGGTATTTTTCTAATTTTACCCTCACTCTATTCAGGGTAAAAGAAATATTTCAAAATGTACCCTATTTATGCTATCATTAAATATTTCAAATTTTATCCTGAGTCTTTTAGTGCTATCATGAAATGTTTGAGAATTTGCCTTATTAATGATATAATTCTCTCAGATTTTACCCTCAGTCTATTCATACAATCATTACATATTTATAAATTTACCTTATTCATTCAATTTAATATTTCAAACTTTACCTTCAATCTCTTCCTGATAAATTAAATATTTCAAAATTTATTTCATGATAAATGAAATATTTCAAAATTTAACTTATTAATGATAACATTAAACACTTTACCCTCAGTCTATTAATGCAATCATTAAATATTTCCAAAATGTCCGTATTCATGGTAAATATTTCAATTTTCATTCTCAGTCTATTGGTACCATTAAATACTTCAAAATGCACCCTATTAATGACAAATTGAATATTCAATTTTTTCCCTGACTCTATTGATGATAAATTAAATACCCCAAACTTTTCCCTCTGTCTATTAATGATAAATTAAATATCCCAAATTCTTCCCTCAGTCTATTCAGATAAATATCCTAATTTTTTCCCTCACTCTATTTATGACCAACTAAATATTCCATATTTCCCCTCAGTCTATTAATGATAATTTAAATATCCCAATTTTTTCCCTATTTATGATAAACTAAACATCCCAAATTTTCCCTCTATTAATGATAAACATCCCAAATTTTCCCCTATTAATTATAAAATAAACATTCCAAATTTTTCCCTATTAATCATAAGCTAAATATCCCAATTTTTTCCCCTATTAATGACAAATTTAACATCCCAAATTTTTCCCCTATTAATGATAAATTAAACGTCCCAAATGTTCCTCTATTAATGACAAATTAAACATACCAAATTTTTCCCTATTAATCATAAACTAAATATCCCAAATTTTTCCTTATTAATGATAAACTAAATATCCCAAATTTTTCCCCTATTAATGACAAATTAAACATCCCAAATTTTTCCCCTATTAACGACAAACATCGCAAATTTTCCCCTATTAATGACAAATTAAACATCCCAAATTTTCCCCTATTAATGACAAATTAAACATCCCAAATTTTCCCCTTGACCCATCCTTACTTCCCGCTCTTGCCGTTCATCCCTGAGGGGCTGAAAATCCCAGGAATTTTTTGGTTTAAGGCGTTTCCTAACCCTGCGCAGGTTTTGGGCAGCAGCACCGGGCAGGATCCGGAGGCGCCGCTGGGATTGGGACCACCGGGATCATCGGGATTGGGATCATTTCAATCGTCGGGATTGGGATCATCGGGACCATTGGGATCATCGGGACCATTGGGATCATCGGGACAATGGGGATTGGGATCATCGGGATCAGGATCATCAAGATCATCAGGATCATTGGGATCGGGACCATCGGGAC